CCTGCGGGTGGGGGGGCTGAGCCCGGGGCGTCCCCGCGGAGAAATAAATCCCTGCTGGAACGGGGCGGGGGGAGCGGGCAGCCCCCTGCAGCGAGCGGGGCCGCGGGATCAGGGCTGCGCGTCCTTGCGGGCTCCTCGCCGGACCCGCCAAGGAGGCGTTCCGAGCCACGGCAGGGTAATTCGGCGGGGTTTTCAGGTCTTTCCTCGCTCCTTGCTCCGGGATGTCCAGCCGTAGCCTATCCTTCGCCCCCCGTTCCCACCTGCTCCCCGAAGGGCCGCGTACCGCTCGTGGGGAGGCTGTCGGGGGGTCTCTGCGGAGCTTTTAGGCTCATCCGAGCTCTTGCCTCTGAACTGCCCGATACTTACTTTGTTCTCGCACAGGCTGGGATTATCCTTGTGAAGCGGTGAGGCTGGTCTTTTTCCGAGAGAGAAAAGCTTGCTCTCCTTATAAACAATGCAACTCAATAGCATTAGTTTGGACAGGATTGAAAATGCTTCTTTGCATCTCTTTTGTGAGTCTTTTACTGTCATCAGGTTAAGATTTTTTCTTTTGAAGGAGTTTTTTTTAATGCTCAAACTGCTGTGGGTTGTCACAGAAGGCGTTCTGCATTTTCCTGGTCTGTACAGATCTCTCACCCCTTGGATACAAATTGCTTTGTTTTGACATAATCCGGCAGTTCGGTCTACATAGTGCAAACGGTAACTGTGACGTCTAAACTGGCTTCGTTCGCTGACACTGATTGATCGGTACTTCAACAGTGTTTACAGCATGGGAATTGCAGACGTTCCTTCCAAATCCTTTGCCCTTTAATGCTTTTTATTTTGATGTACATATTACAGAACTGGCGTATAGAAAAGCTAGGCACGGATCTTTGAAATTCAGCCTCTTGGTTTCAGTGAGCTCATATCAAAAGCAGATGGGGTTGTGGTGTCTAGGCTAGTCACAAAACCACTTAGGTGCCTCGAGACTACTCCAGTTGGACCTGCTCTTACTGCTTGGTCCTAGAAGATGACCAGAGAAGACGCATTAGAGCTGGAGATGGAGGAGTCTGGGCTTTGCTTTTATTCCTGCCTTTGCGAACCGTGTGCGTGACCTTGGGTACACACTCGCTTGTCTTGATTTTGGTCTTGATTCAAGTTGCATAAACTAGTTTGGGATGTTTCTAAAATCTGGTATTTCAAAGGACTTTGAGACACTCAGCGAAAGTATGCTTACTGATATTTAATGTCATTTAAGTGTTTGAATTCGTAAGAATAAGGTATTCTCTGTGGAATAGGAACAGTTCAACATTTGCTGTGCTCTAGTTCCAGAGAAGAGTGGTAGGTCTGTGGAACACAGTGCTGTGTGGCGCTGGGGGGAGTACTTGTTCTCAGTTCTGTAAATCCATGCAAGTGCAGACATGTCTAGTGCTTCAGCTGAATGACAGCATGAGATAACCCAGGAAATTGAACCAGGGCAAAAATTTAGAGTGCATAAGCATTTTGGGGCTCATTTTCATGTTATTTTAATGTGTATCAGGGATCGTCTGAGAAAGCCACAACACTTGCAGCCACTTCTGGGTTGGGTAGATGAATAAAATAGGAAAAAGTGCCAGTTCTGCTTAGCCCAACCCTTAGAAGAGGTGTAGGATTTGTGAGATTCTCTTTTCTTTTTCTTTACTTTTCTTTCTTTTTTTTTTTCCTTTGGCTTATTTTTAGTGTTTGTAGGAAAATAATAATATTTAATCACTACTCTTTGTTTCTGAATCCCCATTCATTTCCAACAGCCACCTATCTGACAAGGAAACTGCAGTAGCTACTGCATTTAGCAGAATTGAAAATGTGGCTCTTAGGCTGAATATATATCAGCTTGGTGATAAATAACTTGTCCTGTGAGGCCAGTTGTGCCAGTTATTGTCGTTAAGATCCTAAACAAGGAAACCCTAAATTTGTAGCCTGTCAGTGTCACCACCAGTGAGGTTTTGCTGTTGGTAGCCTTTAAAGGGGAAGTAGGAACCAGACACAGGGAGTGAAGCAGCAGCAGCAGCACAAGACCGCTTAGACTGGTAAGTGCCAAAGTCCCCGCTGGAAATGCAGTGCAAGCTTCTTGGACTCTTAGATGCTTTGGGGAATTTTATCCTCTAAGCAGGTAAAGCTCTAAATGGGTATTTTCAATGTCGGCTTCAAATGCATACCATAGTATGCTGAGATGAGTTTTCAGCACTGGCACATTGTGGGGGTTAGTTCTACTAGGAGATCATGTTAAAGAGTTTCTAACCCACAGCTCATTGTGCCTGTCTTAACCCTAAGCTTATGTAGGAGTGAGCTTAGATTACATAAAATCATCACTGGTTATCTAGGAAAATGTTACCTCCAAACAAGGTCACCTCAAATTAATTTCCCTTCTCCGAATCCTCCCTTCAGATTGTTTTATGTTGCGTTACAGTGTGTGATTTTCATATAATTTTGTTTGTATCTAGCAGTATTTAGTGCTTAGTCAGGACACAGATGAGTCAGATGAAGATGTTAATCCAAATGTGGTGTAGTGAAGTAAGTCAGTAATTATATTTTCACTTCACCTGTCTGTGATAAAATGTTCTTTTTGCCATTTACCGGAGGCTTAAGTAAGTATGTAAATAAGTCTCTCTGGTAGATAGAACATTTGATAGTGGTACTTACTGTACTTGAGAGGAGCAAAATGACTCACTGGGCTAAGACCAGGGAAGCAGTGTGAAGATTGTAGTTTATAGCTAGGGCTCAGCTCATGGATCCTGAATGACTGAAAATTAACAGTTTGGTACAGTCCCTGTGCTCATTTGACAAAACTGTAATTGAGTTTTGGGAGGGGTTTTATGATAGGAGGCAGAGCTTCATCTTCCAGGAGCTGGCAGTGGATTGAGGAACAGCGATCTGAAAAAGCATTTTAGGCATACTATGGAGCAAGAGCTGTAGCTAAGTTTAGGTAGATGTTCCTGCTCTAGAGGCCCTGCATCTCAGCTGGTAACATAACTCTTCTCCAGGGTTTCCAGGTGGCATTTTTGATACTGGCTGTCTGTTCAGAAGTGACTTTTTGTCATCTTCCCTTACATTTTAAAAAGATTCAGAACCAAAGCAGATGATATTCTGTTACTAGCAGAGGCAATGCTTGTACTTGAAGTATTTAAAAACCTCTTCTAAGCATTTGCAGTTCAATTTTCCATCTCAAACTTGTACTTAAATCTGATAGGAATGCTGTTCTTGTTGAGATGCTTAAAAGGCTACCTAAAAGTGGGCTTGATTGACAATCTTAAAATAAAAAAAAAAAGCTGTAAGTGAGAGTGAGTTTGTATGTGCTTGTTGCGTTTTTAGAGTGGTCTTCTCTGAGCGTGTACGTGCATGCAGTACAGATTTTTGGTCCTTGTGGAGTTGGATGTATTAACTGGGCCAGACTGGTGAGAGAGAATGGCGACTGGGAAGTATGTAATTAAGTTTGCAGACTTGTCTCATTAACTTCTCTGTCTCAGCTCTGCAGAGCCATTTCCTTGTGTAAATTTGCATAAAGCATATTTCCTGGTTGAGAAGCCTCTGAAAAGGCACCCAGGCTGATGCTTAAGGCATCAGCCCGTGACTTGAGAGATCTGAGGTCAAGCCGTTAGTCTTCTAGACAGCCTCTGCAGACAGGGAGCTTTTCTGTTTCTCATGGTTTTTTTTTTCCTAAATGGGAGGTAATGCACTTGCCCTACCTCACAGGAACAGTGCATGAAATAGATACATGAGGTGCTCAGATACAGCAGCGATGAGGGACAAGTGGGTTCAGAAGTGGTAGCTATCTGGTGAACATAGTTCCCCTGGGAATAATAACAGTGGCTGTAGAGAAATGCAAGTTACATAACATAAGGGGAAAGAGGAGACTTTTCTGTGATTTCTGACATCATCTCCGCCAGCAGAGCAATACAGCAGTTACGTGGCTGAAGTCTTGCTTCTCTGTCAAGATGCGTCTGGAAGGTGAGCAGTGGAGCGGATTGTCCCTTGGCACAGGCCACCTCCCTCCATTAGCTGTGAGCCTCTGAATGTTGAAGGTGAAATCTGTTCATCTTTGATGCTCAGCTTTGCAGCCATCTATGCTTTGGCTTTTAGGATGGAGTGCCTCTGATGCTTTGTTATTTAGTATTATTTGCACTTAAAGCGTCAGTTGTGGTTGGCTTTCTGCTGAACATGGAGCTGTATTCAGCTGCAGAGTTCTAGACTGAATGGAAGTGGTATGGCAAGGTAACAAACAGGAGGAAAGAAATCAGGAGAAGTTTGATGCAGAAAACAATGTCACTAAGTAGGTCACTTTGGTGTGCAGCTTGGTGGTCTGGAATCGCATGAAAGTTGCTTAATAGTTTTGTAATAACCAAAATAAATATCGGTTGCTTGCAATTGCTGCCCATCCTAGCCCTGGCTGCTTCACTGAGCGCTTGCAAGTGCTCTAGGTGAGGCACTTCTTTAAGAAGAAGATGCAGGAGAAGAGACATGATGGTGTTGCTGGTCAGGATGCAGGTCTTGCTTTCGAGAGGGAATGTTGGAGAGTGGTGCTCTTTGAGTTGAGTGTATTTGGAAGATGGAGGCTTAGTGGAGGGCATCATGAAACACAGAAATACATTCAAAATGAAAGGAAGATACTCTAGGACAGTTTTGAGAATGAGTACTCTGTTGTCTATATAACATTTGAAATGTTGGAAAACTGGGAGCACCCAGAAATGCCTGCTATTTCTTAAGTACTAGGAGAACTCAATTAAATGGTGCTTCTGAAAAAGAGGTGAAAACAGTTTTTAAAAGGTCTGCCATAGCTTGTAACTGAAGAGTAATAATTTTCAGAAGATTTCTAACATGTTAGAATTATGTCAACAAGCGTATTTCTGTTCTTGGCACCCTCTGGGAGAAACATATTTACCCCCGTTTTACAGGTGAGAAACTGAGGTTTAAATCTTTTGCAATGTCTCTGTCAGAACAGAGGCTTGAATTGGGTCTGCTCAAGTACTAGGCTGGTGCCATTGTTTCAGGAGGATGCTTTCTCTCCTGGGGGGAAATAGTGCAACAGTCCTCCAGAAAACTCTCAAGTCACTTTGCAGAGAGGGTTGGGTTACTTAAGTAATGTAACTTGTTACATGTGGTGTAATCCTAGGAGTTTGACCCCTGCATGCTTTAAAAAAATGTAATGTGTAAAATACTGAAGTATTTTAGATTGTGAGGCAAAATATGTTTGCAGCCTGCCAATCACCGGTTCTTTCTTCCTGTAACTGTTCTGAAACATAGTTGTTCAAGAATTAAACTTCAGGGTTTTTCTTGCGGAGTGCTCGTGTTGGCAGACAACTGCAGACATCTGCTAAGTTAAATGATGCACATGGAGTTTTTTCTTCCCTTGCTGTCATTTGAATGTAAGATGCTTCTCTGTAATTTGCTCATGTAGTTGTAGCTGAGATACGAAGCTGTGCTAGAGTTTTGAGGAGAGAGGGTGTTTTTAAGATACAAATTCCATTCTGCAAGTGGCATTGCTAGAGACTTGGCTGACAGGCAAAATTTGTTTGCTAACGTTGGGACCCTCAGCAAGAAAAAGCTAAACAGCAAAAATTTACTGCCCCAGAAAATGCAAGACTAAGAGTAAGAGCTGCCCTTTGATCTCACTTTGTCCAAATAAGACTGGAGAAATTAAGGCATCTGACTTGAGATTTAAGGAGACTTTCAGAGTCTGATGGGCTTTGGTAGTTCCAACTTAGAACTGTGCTGATTGTTTCTGGCTCTCTGAAGCTGATTTTTAATCTTAGGGGAAAGTTCAGGGAACAGTAACTGATTAATAAAATTGCTTCTCGTACAATGAACTTGGGCAAATAGAAACCTCAGCTAAAGGCAGAAAAAGTGCAATTATGAGTGTAACCAAACTGCTTGTTTATAACAACCTTTCTGTCTGCGGGGAAAATGTAGCAAAGTTTTAAACCCACATTTGGCAGACAGCTTTTAGGGCTTCGTTGTCTCTTGAGGTCTAAAACAGCTGAAGGTGCCCCTTTGCACTGTGAAGCCTGAGCTGACTCAGTACATGCTATTTATTCATCTATACCCAGGTGAGAACCTGGATGGGGTTGATATCACCAGAAAATGAGTGGTTTGGGCTATAGAAAGGAGGCAGTGGATGTATTTTAAAAGATGTTGAGCACTCAGCTCCATCGCCAGCTTTAATCCCAGGCCTCCCTCGACCTGTAATAGCCCCGTGCCATCAGCTGCTGCCCCGTTTGGAGCTGCTTTGGGTGGCGAGGGCTCCCGTTTTTCCTGGGAGCAGTCCCCTTGGGCGGGGAGAGAGTGGCTTTGCAGCAAGTGCTGTGCACATGGAGGACCCAGCTTCTAGCGATGGGGAGGTGGGCACCTGTGAGCGTGTGAGGAGAGGCTGTGTCCTGCTTCGATATCTGCCTCACAGACCCTGCTGTGCCTTCTCTGAGAGCGCTGCGCTGTGCCCAGCGCAGGAGCTGTCCTGGGACCCATGGCTCCCACCCTTCCAAAGGGAACGGTTTAGCAGGCAGGACACAGACGTACCCAAGTCTGACTCACTTTGTTCCTGGGCTGGACGAAGGGCCCAGAGTGCCGTGGGCCTGTCAGAAAGCTTGATCTCGCTGAGGGACAGGGCGAGTAGCAATCTGCTGGAGGGGTGCCCAGCCTCCCTCTTTCTTACCTGCAAGGCAAGATGTCCACCAAAGCCTGCGATTGAGCAAAATCCCCTTCCTTCCTCTCTCCTGCTGCCAACAGCCTTCTACCCTGCCTTGAAAAGAAAGCAGATGCAAATGTAGCTCAGGTACTTTCAGCAGTTTAAGAGCTCTTTGAGGTTGGGAAAAAGCAATCTGATGAGGGTTACAGCTGTTTCATTTCCTGACAGATGCGGAGTGCGTTATGTGCCGGCGCTGCGGATGCACACACACAGACACACACACCCCACCACCCCGCTCTCCCTCCATATCAGTGGCATTAACCGCGCAGCGCCGGCCGTGTACTGAACTCCTTGTCCTGGACACCCTGCCAAAATATGCTGCTGCATGCAGAAGTTTCTGTGAACTGGGTTGTAGCCTCTGTCTGTGTGTGTGTGTGTGTGCACATGTAAGTCAGTGTGTGTTGCCTTGGGTTAGCAGGGCCTTTGTTGTTGAATGTTTTGTTGCTGGAGCTGGGCAGTACACTGTAAACATTCGTGGCTAATTATAAAGCACTTGTATAAGAAATTATTTGCATTTGTACAAATGGTACTAGTAGAAGTACCCGCATAAGTACAGTGAGTACCCAAAGAAGCCCATCTCCGAATGGAGAACTCTTTTCTTTCTTGCAACCGCAGCTAAAAAGCTGTTTGTAACTAAATGCTGAGGTGGTGTAATTTTCTTTTCTAGGAACTTGGAATAAGAATTCCTAGACCACTGGGACACGGACCAAGCAGATTCATCCCCGAGAAGGAGGTGTGGTAGTGTTTTCAAGTACACAGTGAACTTTATGCTTTTAAGGAACACCCTTTTAGTAGTAACCCACACTTGGTTTCAGGACAGCTGCTGAGCTGCAAAACATTTTCAGTCGTGATGACATTCAGTCCTGGTGAGACTTTGGCCACAGTTCTAGTGTACAGAATCAGTCAGAGCCCTGGGGAGCTTTGGAATAGCTATGACCCTTCCTGTACTGCTACTTAGCATAAAGAGACACCCAGTACTGTTTCTGTAAGAGTGTCTGTTTCCTTGTGAACATTCAAATACAATTTCCTACTGGTCCACAAGGCAGCTGCTACCTTGCTCTGGGGTTGCTTTTTCTTGAGCTGCCTCTACCATTCTAAATCATCTGAGAAGCTTCAGAGTGCTGTGGCAGAGCTTTTCTGGTGCTTCTCTCCTGATGGTCTGCTAAGAGAATTTGGAGCAGAGGAAAGGTTAGTAATATGCCTGTGGTTTTCTAGGAATTTTGGAGACTTACATTTCAATTTCCTTTTATTTGTCTCTCTTTGTCATCTTAGCTAGCTTTTTACTTCATTCCCTCTTTTTTCCCTGTAGCAAAAAAATGATTATTCAGTTAGCTTTTTGTTGTTAAAATAAACAAAGTTAGATCAGTTTGGGGCATTCAAGAAAGTGAAGGTGAGACAGTTAAAAATGAGAAGCCAGTGTTGTACAAGAGAAAATGTGAAGCCAAAAACCTTTTGATGATGCAACTGCTTGCGATCACCTCAATGAGAAGTATTAAAGGGGTTTTATGTGCCTCGCCTTACGTGCCATTAGTAGATTTATAATGTAACTGCTTTCACCAGGGCCTCTGGGTGCTGGGGCAACATATTTCTTTACTGTTTCATTGGTACTTCTGAGACAATATTGCTAATTGCTCTTTCTGCTCAATCAGACTATTCAAGTGGGAAACGAAGACGCCATGATGCATGCGCTGTTTGCGGATTCTTTTGCTACGCTGGGCCGATTGGACAACGTTACCTTGGTGATGGTTTTCCACCCACAGTATCTTGAAAGCTTTCTAAAAACTCAGCACTATCTACTGCAGATGGACGGCCCGCTCCCGCTCCATTACCGACACTACATCGGGATAATGGTACGCGGGGACACGGAGCAGCAAAGGAGATGCTGCCGCTGCGGCAGCAGCCTCTGGCCTGGTTTAGTGGCAGCTTTTGCTGTGTTTTGCAGCTTCTGGTTGGGAGGGCATTTCATAGGGGAGCTAAGGGGAGAAGCAAAGTAGGTTTGCTTGTGTCTGGGTTTATAGGTTGTTTCCTAGGACCGGTACTTCATCTTCATGGTTTCAGTAGGACTGTGAGAAAGAGAGGGAAAAAAATCTTTTATAAAAATAAGACAACTGCTTATTTTTGCTTTCCTTAGTATCTCAGAAACTTTCTTCAGGAAAGCTTGTTCATGTGTGTGTGTCCTGTCAAATACACCTCCCTGTAACTCTAAAGTTGATCCCATTGTCCATTCCTGAATCCTGAAATTCTAAGCAAGTTTTCTGCCAAAAGCAGTTGATTTCATCATTTCCAATCTGCCATTCCAATGATCTTTGCTCACTGAAGTTGAATTAAAGTTTTGGGCTGTGTCTTAATTTGAGGGAGAAAGTATTACAGTTTGAGTAAATTATATCAGGTCTGTTCTTTGTGGTAAAGCTGTGTTCTAAAACCTGCTTTTGCTGGTAAAAATTCATCTACAGGCAGCCTTGCTTCTTCTTGACTGCAGAATACTATTCAGTATGGATTCCTTGCTTCAGGACATACAATAAATCTAGTCCTGTACTTCTCCCTGGAGACAGGTGTGCTGCTCCTGTAGCTGTAACATGTATGAGTGAGGAATATTCCTGTTGTGAGAACAATGATGAAAACAGGCTGATGTGTTAATTTTTTAATTTTTTTTTACTTTAGCCTTTGATCACTGTCTCATTCTTGAATATTTTGAGGAAATGATGACTTCTGTTATTTGTCATAAAGCACTAACTTACTGTAATTGTTTTCTCTATCACAACTTGTTTTCCTTTCTAGGCTGCAGCACGGCATCAGTGCTCTTACCTTGTTAACCTCCATGTGAATGACTTCCTTCATGTTGGTGGAGACCCTAAATGGTTGAATGGTCTGGAAAATGCACCTCAGAAACTGCAGAATTTAGGAGAGCTGAACAAAATGTTGGCACACCGACCCTGGCTTATCACCAAGGAACATATTGAGGTAAATCTTTCATGGAGTGATGGGATCGTACACTTATTTTTCAGTAATGCAATCACAGATTCTTAGGGTTAAGAGCCAGAGAGGGTGAAAGATCTTCTGTGTTACTGACTTTCAGTCACTGCATGATATAATATCACTTGTGCCCTTGTAAAACTGACATGATCTTTACTGGTCTTAAATCACTGCCAAATTTAATTTACAACATGCTGACATTTCCGAGTTGTCAGGTCAGAGTACTGTTGCGTGGTCAGGATGTGCTCACATGTGTGCTTCCTAAGTCATGTACCTGCAGGAGCCAGAACCTCCTGAGCATTTCTGAGATGCAGCCAGAGGTTAGGCAGAACACCAGTCACCCTGGTTTTGCCTCAGTTGCTGCTGAGCAAGCCCCTGTGTAGTTTTCAGGCTGGCAGAACAGCCCAGAGGAGCGGTGGTGGTACAAACCAGCCAGGACTGCAGCACCAACAAGCCACCAAGCAGCTGCTTCTGTTGTCCCCTCCTCTGAGGGCTCCCTGGGATCAGCCAGCTTCAGTGGTGTGTACAACACGCGTGCAGCGAGGGCAGCTCTCATGGCAGGGACACGCCTGCCCTGGGCCTGGCCGTGCTTACTGGAGCAGCTCCTCTGCTCTGCTCTTCACCCTTAGCGAGGAGGAGGTGGGTGCTGGGACTTTTCTTGGCTGTCTGCCAGGTGCAGAGGCTGCAGCAGGTCCTGCTGGGAGGCAGGGTGCTGGGCTGCGAGGACGGGCACGCTCTCTGCCAGCAGGCCCCAAACCTCCCACACTTTCCTGCCTGAAGGGGAAGTTAGGGGTTGAAGCTTCTTGTCAAATGCAAAGCATTCCACCCACAGGGACAAGATGGAGGGAGCCTGGCTCTGATGCCAGGTTTTTACACAGCTGATCTGCGAGCTGTTGCCAGGGTGTTTTTTGAGACCAGTTGGAGAAACATGTCACTGCTGGGTTTGCATCTTCGTCAGAGGTGTGAAATTTCAATGCAAGTTGGTCTGGCCTCAATACAAACCATGTGGTGTGAAATAGAAACCCCTGCTGATTCCATAGCTGAGGGCCAGAGAGGGGAGAAAAGTTGTTCCTCTGTGGCTTAACCACATGACTCTGTAGCTGGCAGGTGACCTGGTAACAGCACACTGGGCATGGTGATGGCAGCGGAGAGGTAGAAAGCAACTGTGGATGTCAGAAAAATGATTTTATCTGGTAAAGAAACGTGCTGATAAACTGCATTAAGGTGAGATCGTTTGAACGACTTTTTAAAATTAATACTTTTGTCTTGCATTATTTTTAAAGCAACTTTTGAAGACTGAAGAGAACAGCTGGTCCCTGGCAGAGCTGATCCATGCAGTGGTTCTCCTCACTCATTACCACTCCCTGGCTTCCTTCACCTTTGGCTGTGGAATCAGCCCGGAGATCGACTGTGAAGGGGGTCACACCTTCAGGCCCCCTTCCGTCAGTAACTATTGCATATGTGATATTACAAATGGTTACCACGGGGTGGACGAAATTCATGCCAGCCCAGCTGCAAGTATTCCAGTAAGTGTCTGTCTGAACAAACTGTCTCTTTCAGTAGTAGTAGTTTCTCTGTAGAATTAATACTTAGAGGGTGCCTATCTCTTCTCATGCGGTGAGTGGGATTGATTAGCCAAATCTAGAGGAGGGCTAACCAGTTGAAAATATCAATAGATTTAGGAGAATCTGAAATGACACTGCTAAGCTGGGGGAGGTTACTGAAGGGAGAGATGAAGATACAGTCTCTCACTTGAGTATTTTTCTGCTCTCTCATCATTCATATAGGCAAACTGAGACAGCTTCTGGCCTCAGCTAGTTCATGATACATGCCCTGAACAGCAGTGGCCAGGAATGCTTTTTTTTCATGGGTGCATTGGAGATTCAGCTCTTCCTTTGATTCTAGATGTTTAGTTTGTTGCCTTGAGGTGTTTGTGATACATCACACAACAGATCGTTTGCAATTGTCTGACTCCAAACCAGTACTTCCTGCCTGCAGCAGTTACACTTGCTGGTCTGTTCTTGCTTCCACTTAGTGAAAAGCATGATGTGAACTAAGCATTGGTATAAGAACAGTGGTAACAGTATTTTCAACACAGGTTCCTTGCTTCTGAGACTTTACTGCAACGGTGTGAGTGACATTGAAATTTTGATGGAACTTGCTGGTTCTCTGAAGGAGCAAACTGACTGCAAAAGGCAGAGAAGAAAGGGAATGAGCTGTATAAATGGAAGATAACTTTATTTTGCATTGTGCTGATAGATTTTTACAAGACCAGATACTGAATTAATAGTATGTTGTGGTGTTAAAACAGCTCTTCGGAAATAAGTTTATCTTGCACTAGCTCTCCTTTGAGGCTTCATTAAATCTGCATTTACACTCACTCTTCCTTTTTCCTTCAATATATTCTCTGTGAGCACAGAAGGGGAAAAATACCGTTGGGTAGTAAATTGTGGTTACTTCCTCTATGAGAATTTGTTACAGCTCCTTGTTTTTCAGATGTTAAACATTTATGTTAAGTAAGAAAAATCACTTCAATTTTAGTGTGGGACCAACTTGTTCCAAAATGCAGTGGTTCTTAAAATATGCTAAAAATGCCAGGGAACTAACTGAGAATCGATGACTGAATGCAAACTGTTGGGTCAGTACAGACTTTTTTCCAAGAACCGTTTTCCTAAAAAAAACCCAGTATTTAAAGATGTAAATGAAGGATATAGTTTGTGTTTAAATTTTCTGCTTTGATGATTTCTGCCGTCATTGTCAGTTCTTGTTACACAGGAATGAAATGTTTTTCTCTCCTTTTCAAGTCTACAGAGTCTGTCTGTGAAGTTGAAGCTCTTATGGAGAAAATGAAGCAGCTACAGGAGTGTAGAGATGAAGAGGAAGCCAGCCAAGAAGAGATGGCGACACGTTTTGAGAGAGAGAAGAGAGAAAGCATGTTTGTGTGTTCTTCAGGTAGAACAGATGCAGTGTGTATATATACGTTTATTTAGGCTTTTCCAAATCTTGGTACTGCAAAAGGAAAAAAAACATCACCAGTTTCTTTGAAGGTGCCTTGTTTTCTTCAAGGAACACTTGGGCTTCTCTTGAATACACCAGAACACTCACTGACCAATATTGGCTTTAATAGAGATTTCCAACAGAGCCTCTCTTGAGAGATTTAAAAGTTGCACAAGAGATTTAAGCATCTCACAAGACATAACAAGAAGTCCTTAACAGACTTGGCTATTTAAGCGTACAAAATATTTATTTTCAGGTGACTGTGAGCTAATTTGGTACAAGCTTAGGGTTGTTGTGGGCTCTGCAACAGTTTCCTCTAAAATCAACTTGGCATGGAAGTCGTAGAGGTCTCTTATTTTTAAAATAAGTTCTCCGTTCCAAACAAGATTTTTCCCTTGACATTTTTACAGACCCTTTGAGGGTAGGAATAAAGTGTCCCCCAGACTTAGGGGGAGGAGGGCGAAGAAGGGTATGCAGAAGAAGAGAGAAAAAGATGCTTGTCTGTAAGAAAGAATCTGAGGGTTTCTCATGGAGTTGCTTCTAAAATCCGTAGCTACAGTCATGCTTAGCTATATCAAAGCATTTTAATGCAGGTAGTGCAGTGAAACCATGTGTTCATTTAAAAAGCACGGAGACCCCCATTCTTCTGCAGGAGTTCCATTAGTACACCTCCAATGTGTTCTTACTGAAATTGTGTGTGAAATTCTGTTTGAAATTAACAGAAGATGAAGAATCGGCACCAACAAGAGACGTGTCTCGTCACTTTGAGGATACCAGCTATGGTTACAAAGACTTCTCCAGACATGGAATGCACGTGCCCACCTTTCGTGTGCAGGTAACAAGGATGGGAGCTGCCTTCAAGAGGCTCGGTGCACAATCTGTTCGTTGTGCCAAATACCAGGCCTGGAAATTGCTGTGCTGTAACTTGCGGCCCCGTGGATGGGAAGGTTTAAAGCAAGCAAATGAACAGCGCCCCCGGCTCTGCACCCCGATTATCTTCCCTGAGATAAATGACATCAAAGCATTAGGTCTGCACAAATTCATTTCTGAAATGCTCCATTCTGCATTTTTCCTTGTTCTAAGGATTATTCCTGGGAAGACCATGGCTATTCCTTGGTTAATCGTCTCTACCCAGATGTTGGACAACTACTTGATGAGAAATTTCATATTGCTTATAATCTGACTTACAACACCATGGCCATGCACAAAGATGTGGATACCTCAATGCTAAGACGAGCTATTTGGAACTATATTCACTGTATGTTTGGAATAAGGTGAGTTTTACTACTTTTGTTCTAAATACATCAGACTTTTTTTTTTTCCCTTAGATTGCAACAAAGTTATTTATTAAGCAAATGTGCTTGTAGTTTTAAAGATATTTTTGTTTAGGGGGGAGGGCCAGTAGTGGTACAAATTACACAGTAATTTATTTTGTCATGGGGACTTAAAAACAATGCAAGTGAAATCACATCACTGGTTCTTGAAAATGAGAGTGTTTTTCATTCTGAACAGATACGATGATTATGACTATGGTGAAATTAATCAGTTGTTGGACCGCAGCTTTAAAGTTTATATCAAGACCGTGGTTTGCACTCCTGAAAAGACCACGAAAAGAATGTATGATAGCTTCTGGAGGCAGTTTGAACACTCTGAGAAGGTACAGTTTGCATGCGTGCTGAGGGGCAAGGGCTATACACCTGCTTGCCATGCTAACACCCGCAGCATTTTGAGCTGCAGCTGCTGATGCTGCTCACTTTCAGGAAATTCATTAGGAGGTGCAGTACTCCCTAGGCTGAAGTAATTTTTTGTTTCCTACCGTGTGTCTGCTAGCTAGCAGCTGGCGTGGACTGTGCAAGCTCTGAACCCCGCAGGGAGGTTAGACATGTAACTGGTGCAGTGTTCTCCTCTGCTGCCAGCAGGTACTGCCTGTGTCCCCAGGAGGCAGGGAAGCAACCACGGGATCCATCCCTTGGCCTCGGACCCAGAGCAGCTTGCTTGCTGGCCCAAAGTCGTGGCAGTCCTACTGTCACTTCTAGTATGCATGGCCCCAAAGCAGTTACTTCTGGTTGAAGCCTAAAGTCCTGCTGCTGGAGGGCTGTAGTCTGAACTGCACCCCACAGTAATATTTCTTGCTGTTGACTATCGGATGTCTACTCCATCAAGTTCATGTCCTCCAGTTTTATTTTTGAAAAATATTTCTAAGACTTACCTGAATGATGATACAGTGCTGAAATATAAACGTGCCTTAATCAGCGTTTGTATCATCAGAGGTCCTGTTTCTTGCTAACGTGTCACTGAACACAGTCATTGGCCATCCTTGTGGATTTGAATGAAACCACACACAGCCACTACGTGCCAGAACAAACTCACAGCCAACCTGTTGTCAGTGAGAGAATATTTTTCACACACCCCACAGTTTCTGAATCTCATCCTCAAAGAAGCACAGTAAGGATATTGACATGAGCTGGGGGAATGAAAATTCTTACCTCAGGTAGTTACTGAACACCTCTCTCTCCATAAAGATTAGTTTCATGGCATGTTACAATTTCTTCTGTGCTTCACCTCAGCTAACCACTCTGTGCTGTTCAGGTGATAACTTCCCTTGTGTTTCTCTTTCTCTGTCCCACAGGGGCAAACGACCTTATCACCTCTTCCTTTGCTAACAACCCCCTCTGCTCCACAGGTACCAGCCACCCTTTTGCCTTTACCTAATCGATTAACTTAATCAAGCTAAATTTAAACAGTTACTTCCAAGCTGTGCCTAGCCTACTGCTGAAGAAGGGCTTGTGTGCTTGAAAGCTGGTCTGTTTTTCCCAGCTAAACCAGTTGGCCTACTAAAGGATGATTCCCTCTTCCCCTGCACCTGGCCCTGCTTACCTGGCCCGTAGGTGGCCCGCTGCCGCGTTCTCCCTGGGCGAGCTGTGCGGAGAGCAGAGCGGTGAGCGGGGCAGCTGCTGCACGGGCACTCCCCCGCTGCCAAAACCGCAGCCCCACGCGCTTCCTTCTGCTGCGGGGCGTCGCGGCGAGCACGTCGCTCAAGCCTGACTTCTTCTCTCTCCCCAAGGTCCATGTCAATTTGCTTCTGGTAGAAGCTCGGATGCAAGCCGAACTACTTTATGCTCTGAGAGCTATTACTCGCTATATGACCTGATGTCTCCGGCTGCCTGTCGACGTGGGAATGTTGTGCAGCTGCAGCGTGGCAGAGGAAGATACGAAGCCTCAGGACCAACGGTAGCTCTAAGTTAAGACGCCCATTGTGCCATAACTCCTTTAGTTTCAGCTATCTCCGTGTTTGGAATATCGCTGCTGTCGCTCGGCAGTGAACGCTTGGCAGTTGACAAGACAGGGTTGTGCAGAAGTGCTGCCCACTCAAGGTATTTCGGCTTTAGCCAGCACGGGACACTCTATGAACTTGTGGCAATATAGCAAATGGTAGATAAGATACGTAGATCTTGTGTTAAGGCAAATACTACGGGAGCTGGAGCGTGACAAGAAGTGGGACTT